GTGGGTGTGAGGGAGAGGGGGAGGTGTGGGGGGAGAGGGGAGGTGTGAGGGTGGGGAAGAGTGGGTGTGGGGGTGAGGGAAGGAGGTGTGAGGGTGGAAGAGTGGGTGTGGGGATGAGAGGGAGGTGGTGTGAGGGTGGGGGAAGAGTGGGTGTGGGGATGAGAGGGAGGTGGTGTGAGGGTGCGGGAAGAGTGGGTGTGAGGGTGAGGAAGAGTGGGTGTGAGAATGTGGGGAGGTGTGAGGGGAGAGGGGAGGAGGTATGGGGGAGAGGGGGGAGGTGTGAGGGTGGGGAAAGAGTGGGTGTTGGGGAAGGGAAGAGTGGGTGTGGGGGATAGGGGAGAAGGTGAGGGAAGAGTCGGTGTGAGGGTGAGGGAGAGGGGGAGGAGGTGTGGGGGAGAGGGGGAGGAGGTGTGGGGGAGAGGGGGAGGTGCGAGGGTGGGGGAAGAGTGGGTGTGAGGGTGTGAGGGAGAGTGGGTGTGAGACAACAACCATTATACATAGAACCGATAACACCCACCACATCGTATAGACTACACTCACCACACCATGTAGGCATCACCCACACCCACCATATCATATAAACTAAACTCACCACACCATGTAAGAGTCACCACCGTCACCACCAACACATGACGGGCAGTAAACGTCAACATGGTGCGGGCAGTAAAACCGTGGCCAGTCAGCAGCTCGCGGCCAGGTACCAATATTGAGGATCTCGACACAGCACCATGACCCTCAGCCGCCCCTTACCTCCACCAACCTATGTTTATCGTTGTCTTCTGTCTCGGCTCTACGGTGTTGTCTCTTATTATTTTCTCTATGTGGATTAGATTTTATTCCTATTCTTCGTGTATATGTCACAAGTGTTAATTAAAGTTGATTTTTATAGATCACCTGAAGATTAGTCCCCCCACCCCACCCACACACCTGATGATTAAACACCTTAATGCTTCTCACCAGCCCCCCCTCATCACCTGTTATATGTTGCAATGTTTTATGTAACTTAACCGATATTTTAAGGATTAGTTATTTTATGTAATACAGTAATGGAGGGTCTGTAATTATTCAACGTTTTTGAGCTTGAATATTGGTTACAGTAACTCTTAAATACAAAATCGGTAACTATAGTGCAAGACAAATTACGAAATGATATTGTTATGGTTTGAGTGTAATACAGTACTTTATTTTTTAGTCACCTCATGTGACAATTTTGTTTCGGTGACTGATGGAATATTGAAACAAATATTTACAGTACTTGTTTCAAATAATATTCACAGCACCATGATGTGTTTTGTTATAAATATGCAGAGCCAACAATTAATAATCACCTATCAAAATTGAATCTACGTATTTTATTCATTTAATTTAATTTTTACTGGTTATGAAACAAGAGAGGGCGTGCTGGTAAATACAAGTCTGGCTATAGAAGTTTTAGAATAACATCCGTCAGCACACAGGATCGTTATAAAGTACTACGTTACAGCAAGGGGTGTACGGCGGCCGAGACTTGTTGGTGTACCCCCCAGCCCATCCAGCTGTAAATGTGTGCGTAATTTTAGATGAGAAAGTGAAGGAGGTGGAGCGCAGTGCCGCCTCGTGTAATGAAGGCTTAGTACTACACCTAACTGCCCATCAGACCCAATTTCCCTTCACCTACAGCACACATTCAATGACAATTTCACTCACATCTAAATAACATTCCAAGTGACCATTTGCTATAGATGTCAGTTGTGAGGCGGCACAAACTCCCCAACAGATGAGTTAACATTGCTTCCCTCCTCAAGGCTGATCATAATAGTATAGTTTTCAGTGGGATAACGTAAGGCCACAAGTTGTCAGATCTTCAGGAAACAACTACCGTTAGTACTGTGTATTTGTCTAGGATTAAACCGTCTGGACAACTACTTCAGGGGAGCGACACACACCCGTCGTTCTCGATCACGTCAAGTGTCCAGGTAGAATTCCAGCAGACGTCCCCCGAGGGTCAGGTGAAGGAGACGTGGTGGTAATTTAATCTTACCTGGACGCTGGCATGGCACGGGTGGGGGGAGACTAGCAGGTAGACTCAGTAAGACGCAGATTAGGTAAACAAAAGTCAAACAAGGAAAGAAAAGAGAAAAAGATAGCGATAGGTTGCATCAAAGAGAATGTGGAAAGGTGAAATTAGATTAGGAAAAGCCATTGGGCTAGAAATACTGAGGTTAGGTTAGAATTGACTAGACTGACTTCTGATATTTCTTTACAGGTCGCAAAAGTTTAGGTTTCTTTGGAATGAAATAATAAAATTACGTTAATAGAAGTCAGGTGAGAACCAAGAAGTTCACAAACAATAAACACAATAATATGATATCAAGAAGAAGGCTAAAAAAAATATCAGGACAGTTCAGAATTTGGTTCATGAGGTTTTGCAGGAACAGGAAGAGTCAGGTGTGTCATGACAAGAACCCCAACTCTACCGTCGTGTAGTACCGTCCATCACGACTGAGGGTGAAACACTAACGTTTACAGTATTATCACAACAGAGAGAATTACCTGCCATAATTTTTGATAGCTATCATCCAGTACGTGCTTAAAGACCTTAGTTGTTGAGACACAGAGAAAATATATAAACAACAAGGTAAGATAATGTAGAAGAACAGCTCGGGGTTTAGAATATGGAGGGTCGAGTGTTCACCGAAATTTACTCTGTAGTCTGTAACAGAAAGCCCTTGCGAACATTTGTTCAGGGAACAACTGCTTTTTAGTGTATATACGTTGTGTACTGTAAAGGTATGCTTTCTCCCTGAGGCCCCGAGGCGGGACAGCAGTACAGCAGAGCTTAACTTTGTCCCTAACAAACATCAGAAAACAGTCTATCTTCCCCTCGCCTCAGTCAACCCGGGTTTTGCTGACTCTCGTATACCTCTTGATCCAAACTGTTACTACACGACCATTATCTGTGTAACATAACTCCGCAACTCTAACTTATCAATTTTGACCAAGCTGACCTAATCTGACCTTTTCTTAGGTGAATGTAACATTTAAACTCACTCACCTTAACTGTCCTGACCGCAATTGACCTCTCCCAACCAAGGGTGACTCTGACACTTGCTGACCTCTTCTGACCCCTGGGAAACCCTTATCAGCAGTTACTGTACCGAGAACACTGACTGCTGCCTCTCTCCTTCACCACCACCAACACATAACATAAAGTAACTTTTATTCTCTCCCTAAATGATATCCTTAATTTGGCTTCTGGTAAAGGCGGAGAAGCCGTATTGTTAGGGAGTTTTACTTGCTCTGAGGGTCTGCCCTATAAATATCTCCAGCCTTCGACATTAAGGGTCTGAACTCTCAATACCAAGAGAATTATGGCCCCCAGAGGCTTGTGCTGCAACAATGGTCTCCTCTCGTGGTCCTGTCGCCGCCCATACAAACTTATTTTTTTTCCGGCCATCAGTAATTGTCAACGATAACTACACGAGGGTCACTCACAGCAACCAGTAGTGTGGAGGATGTGGCTCACTTCCTCTACTGCCGACGTCTGTTTGATCAGAGTTAAATACCAGAAGGTGTGAGGAGGCAGAGGAGAGGGTTGAGCAAGCTGAGTAATGCATGTCAATTCAAGATTAATTTGGAACAGTCAGATAGTTTGTTTGATATGATAAGAGTGATTTGTGGTGTTGAGTTTAGATATGACGAAGACCTGCTGCACCTGCCGGCCATCAGTCAACATCAACTTGAATTTGATTTGACAATGAGTGTAGATACATTGACTCCCACACCACCTGCAGGCACGTGGGTGATGAGAGTGTGTACGCTAAGCTGACTTTACGCGGTGTGTGTGTGTGTGTGTGTGTGTGTGCTCCTATCAACTCCATTACCTCAACGGGAATTATGGCTACGAAATTAACCTGAGACTTCATTACACCTGGGAGCCTTTTCGCTTATCTTCAGAGGGAAAATACTTACGAACATCCGAGAACTGAGCGAAAAAAAAAATACAAATTAAACAAAAAAAAACACGAATTAAGCGAAAAACAAATTACCAATTGACCGAAAAAACTAGTAAAAAAAAACTAAACTAAAAAACATGACGAAATGACCTATAAAAAAGTAACGAACTACGAATTGAACGAAAAAAAAAGACAAAAAACAACTTATGAACACACTAGGATAGGATGGCGGGCAGAGTCTTCCAATATCGCCGTAACTTACAAGAGAATGTCATCAAGCCGTAAATTGGATGCACTATTGAACAGCCAATGGCATCTTTCATATAAATTTATCTGATTATGAGGCAACTGTATAAACTGGATCTGGTTCCTCTGATGATCTCTGCTTTTATCTCCGGTTGTGTAGGAGTAACTCGGCAGCTCCAGGGGGGTGGGGGAAAGAATTGGAGTGGAGGAAGGGGGTGGGTGGAGTATGAGGTGGAGTGGAGGTGGAGGAAGGGGTGGAGTAGAGGAAGGGTGGGTGGATGAGGTTTAAGAAGGAGGTGGAGGAGGGGGAAGAAAGGGATGAGGGGGAGGAAGTAGAATGGAGGAGGAGGGGGAGGAGAGGGGTGTGTGGAGGTGGACAGGGGTGGGGAAGGATGAGTGAAGAAAGGAGGGGGAGGGGGTGTGGAGGTGGACAGGGGTTGAAAGGGAGTAATGGGTGAAAGGGGGGGAGGATTCCTGTGGATATGTATTTTGAAATTATTTATTGATTTGTCTGTATGTGTGTAGCACTCTTCACTTGATTTATGTCTGTGGGATGTGTGTGGGTCCTTCCTCCTTCTCTTCGTCGTGCTCTCTCTCTCTAATAACTTGGTGCGTAAGTTATGTTAAGTGAATATCGCTCAAGTTACGGGGTGAATTGCGCCTGAGTGGTGAATATCGCTTGAGTTAATAAAGACTCACATATTAAAGCTTGTGAGTGAGTGAGTGAGTGAGTGAGTTAATGAGTGAGTGAGTAAGTGAGCTAATGAGTGTATTAAGCCGAGTTGGACCAGCCACCTTCATCACCTCTTCTCCCGGCAGCCGAGGCCCTACAGCGCCCCGTAGTGTCTGGCGTGAGGGACACCTACCACCCGATGGACCCCGTGTTGCTCAACTGTACCTCAACCAACACTCAGTACCGGCCACTCCTCTCCTGGGTCCTCAACGGCCGCTCCGCTCCCTCCGTGAGTTCCCATGAGTTCCGTTGTCATTAGTGTTCGTGTTGTTGTAATGGTTGTTATTATCGTGTTGTGAGTGTCTTGTTACCGTAGTGGCAATGTTGTAAATGCCAGTGATCTTGTTACTCTATTTACCCCGTTGCCATAGTGGTTACTTACAAATGCCATATAACATTAATGTTGATCTTTCTTGTCCAATATGTTGCCATTGTGTGATTCCTTCCATCGTTCTCTGTAATCGTCGGGTTTTATGTAGGATTTACTGTCTGTTTGTCTGTCTGTCTGTGTCTGTCTGTGTTCTGGTGTTTGTCTGAGGATGAGTCGTGATGAGTGAGGTCGGTGGACGGGTTATAACAGTGGGCGGTTCCATATAACTCACAGCTCCTCGACGATTCACTCGATTTCAAATTTACTGCACGAAAACTGGGTAGTGAGGAATGAGAGTTTGTGTCAGCGGTGTGTGTGTGTGTGTGTGTGTTTTATGACTGGCAGTACGAGTGTGTTGTGACCTAACCTAGAGGGTGTGTGACGGGCGGGGCCACAGCATCCCGTAAAACGCACTTACTGCACCCAACCAGATTCTCAAACGCTCATACTGCACTTAGTCCCGTAGCAGGAGATGTAGTGATGCATCTAACTGATTAAGTATTAAGCTGATTTAGTCTTGGTCACGACACCAGGAGGGGCACCAGCAAGGGTTGATGAGGTACTGAGGTTGTAACATAACTGAAGGTGGGTGTTATGGTCCTCACACCCGGGAGGGGAAACTCACGCGACTGGTTCTCGCAGACTGGCGGCTGTATGTGTGGGTTATCGCCAGGATCTGCTGCCACAGCGTTAAGTTAAGGCAACAATAAGAGAAGGTGTGTGTGAAGTGAATGATAAACTTTGATTACTGGCGCTTGACGACTCTATAAACTGTTGACTTCCCCCTTGACGAACACCTACACGACTTTGTCCTTAAAGCAATTATCACACTGGAGGGTGACAAAGTGTCATACTGGAACGCGACAATACACAAATGTTTTACTGAATGGTGACATAACACAAGCGTCACACTGGACGGACCTGCCTCAACACCCAGGCCCACGGATCAGCCCACACCGAATACAAGTGTATCAGCAGCAGCCAGGTGACAGCTGACTACCATGGCAGTAATGAGCTCTTAGAGGTGTTAAGACGAGTTGGTATGCAAGTTGGGGTGCTTACAACTTGTGCCACAGACACCCTTGGTGACAGTGTGAATACCTTCAGTAAACACTTAAAACTGTGGGAGTTGTTGAAATTCACATTTTTTGCCGTTGTTGAGGAAGAGTTGGAGCGAAAGGCGGCATATTTTGAGGAAGTCTGTCGGGGAGTGCGAGGTGGGGACGCTGGCCGGTGACAGTGTAATATCACTATAAATGGTAAATAGGTGAAGCTTGTGAATGGATGCAGCTATTTGAGGAGGGCTTTCCAAGGCGAGAAATAACAAAACTGAAGTGAACAACAGATATACCCAAGGAAGAACAACACATAGGACCATAAGAACATTAACTAACATGAAGAGACACACGCCCGTATTATTAAACAACATCTTCCCTTGAAGAGGGTCGTCGTGTTTCAACCCGAGTTTTAAACTAAATGAGTCCTGAGGGACACCGCAGTACTGTACCTAACGGGGCGGTGTGGCGGTAAAATTAACTAATTCCAATATTATAAATTAATTTTATTGGAATCAGTTAATTTTACCGCCACACCACCACCGTTAAGTACAGTACTGCGGTGTGCCTCAGGACTCATTTAGTTTAAAACTCGGGTTGAAACACGACGACCCTCTTCAAGGGAAGATGTTGTTTAATAATACGGGAGTGAGAGACTAGGAGAAATAAGCTGAGTGGGGGCGGGGGGAGGCAGATGGGGGGGAAGGAGGGGCGGACAAATCACCAACCAATTAATCCACCAGTACTAACACCACCTCCCCTCACCCTGACACACAGAATTACGTGATCAAGTATGACCGTCGCTCTGTTGGCCTGAGATTCCTGGCACGACCTGACCTCTTCCAGCGCGGGGTGATCCAGGCCACCTGTATCACCTCTCTCGGCGCACAACACAAGAGGTCAAGCGAGGTTACCCTACCCAACAGAGACTATTTGAGTGCCCAGGAATACTACTATAATGCAGGTAATTATTAAAGAGAATCATAATTATTTCCAGGTTTTTATAATACTTTCATAACGTTTTCATCTCCAAGGACTCATTGTACTTTATTTATGGGTAGGCATGATAATGGGGATATAATGATGGAAGTATGATAATGTGGATATAATGATGAGGGTATAATAATAGGGGTATAGTTATATGGGTATAATAACCAAACCAAACCTAAACCAAACTAAACCAAACTAAACCAAACCAAACTAAACCAAACTAAACCAAACTAAACCAAACTAAACCAAACTAAACCAAACCAAACTAAACCAAACTAAACCAAACTAAACCAAACCAAACTAAACCAAACTAAACCAAACCAAACTAAACCAAACCTAACCAAACTAAACCAAACCTAACCAAACTAAACCAAACCAAACCAAACTAAACCAAACCAAACCAAACCAAATCAAACCAAACTAAAGCAAACTAAAACCAAACTAAACCAAACCAAACCAAACTAAACCAAACCAAACTAAACCCAAATCAAACCAAACCAAACCTAAACCCAAAACAAACCAAACTCAAACCTAACCTAACCAAAACCAAACCCAACCAAACTCAAACCAAACCAAACCAAAACTAAAACCAAAACCAAACCAAACCAAACCCAACCAAACCAAACCAAACCAACCTAACCTAACCAAACCAAACCTAACCAAACCAAACCTAACCAAACCAAACCTAACCAAACCAAACCAAACCAAACCAAACTAAACCAAACTAAACCAAACCCAAACCTAAACAAACCAAACCAAACCAAACCAAACCAAACTAAACCAAACCTAAGCAAACTAAACCTAACCTAACCAAACCCAAACCAATAATGATACTCTCTCGTTGTTACAGGTGGGACGCGAGGTGTGAGGCAGTGTGTGGTGTGGTGGTCAGCCCTCACCTCTCTTCTCTCCCTCCTGTACTACTGACTACTGTACGACTCTCACTGCTATTAATGTACAGATGTAAATATATGTCTTATGTGTATTATGGTGTTTACTTTTATTATTTAGTTTTATATTTTTATGTTTTTTCCTTCAAATGCGTGGAGAGAGAGAGAGAGAGAGAGAGAGAGAGAGAGAGAGAGAGAGAGAGAGAGAGAGAGAGAGAGAGAAGTCTATTACAGTGAAAAAATTATAGTGTAAACAACGCCCCCACCCCCCTTGCCATACCATAAACAAAATATAAACAAGTAAACAAAATCTACTCTAAGACTTGTTTACTATTGGCTCCATATATCAACTTCCTATAGCTAAGATATAAATAAATAGAAGAAATATATATATATAGGGGACCTGAAATATAGCCCGAACAAACAATCAATCATCATCAGGTGAAGACAAACATACAGCGGGCAAGAGCCTGAGACCCTCCCATAGCACCCGGTATCTGGAGGAGGCGGTGAAGGAGGGGGGAGGAGGTGAGAGGAGACTGTGGAATGGGGAAGCGGAGTTGCTGAGGAGGGGGTGGGAGGGGGGGTGAGGAGGTGGGAGTGGGGGGGGTAGGGGAGGAGGAGGGGGGTAGGGAGAGGGGAGGTAGGAGGAGGGGGGTGGGGAGAGGCGAGTGGAAGGTGAGGAGGAGGAGGGAAGTGAGGAGACGGAGTGGGGGGGGGGCAGGGGAGGAGGAGGGATATAGGGAGGAGGAGTGGGGGGCGAGGAGGCGGAGAGGGGAGGGGGAAGAGAAGGAGTGGGCTCAAGCAAAAATGAAATGAATGAATGAATAAATGGATGATAGATCAGTCAATGGCTTGGTGGTGAGTCAAAGAACATCCTGCGTCTGATGAGAGGCCCTTGGGAACAGTGACCGTGAGTGACACTTGAGTTACAAGGAATAGACCAAAAAGAGGAGAGAGATTAAAACTGAATAACAAGATTAGAAACAAATAAGAGAAGAGAGAGAGAGAGAGAGAGAGAGAGAGAGAGAGAGAGAGAGAGAGAGAGAGAGAGAGAGTGTACGGGGAGCATATATCGAGAAGCTATAATATAATTAGTTCTAAGTTACCATCAAGAGGAACGGCTGTCTCAAGTTAGGACACAAGAACGAGCCTCAACACACGATCAGGAATCAGATGCAAAGAAACACACACACACCTGGATTACACCTGACCAAGATCTTAACTACATAATACATGTTCACTACAGTTAAGGTACAGTATAGAGTTACTAGATGCAATAAACATAGGAGTTAGGTTAGGTCAGCAGGTGTTAAAGGTAAGTTAATACCAGGTTAATATTTACTGTCAATGGTGGAGTATTCAGTAAGAAATGAGGTGAGGGAGTGGTGGTGAGGGAGTGTGGGGGTGAGGGGAGGGTGGGTGGAGGGAGTGTGGTGGTGAGGGGAGTGTGGTGGTGAGGAGCTGGTGGTGAGGGAGTGTGGGAAGAGGAGTGGTGGTGGTGGAGCTGGAGGTGGTGAGGGGAGGTGGTGGTGAGGAGGTGGTGGTGAGGGGAGGTGGGTGGTGGAGGGGGTTGAGGGAGTGTGGTGGTGAGGGAGTGGTGGTGAGGGAGTGTGGTGGTGAGGGGTGGTGGTGAGGGAGTGTGGTGGTGAGGGAGTGTGGTGATGAGTATAAATGAGGTGCTGATAAATGGAGTTAAAAAGAATGAGATAAAACGATGGGAAAGAACACGATGAAAGTTCAATGATGAGTAATGATCTTAAGAAAGGGCCCGGGTGAGTGAGGGCCGGGGTGGGGGTTAGTGTTAGTGAGGGCCGGTGTCTGTGAGGGCTAAGGCGAGGACCGATGTTAGTGAGGAATGGAATAAATGAGGGCTGGGATGAGTGAGGGCAGGGGTGAGTGAGGGCCGGAGTGACACAAGTACCTCATAAGTCACTCACCACACAGTTAACAAACACAGTAATAAAGACGACGACGCGAGCACATAATAAATTCTACGTCAGACTAACTACACAAATACAATTAACCCCCCAAAAAAATCATATAAACACACACTCCCAGTCACACAACAACCAACCTGCCCAGCACTGACGTCAACAAACACATTGCTGCCACATCTCACAAACCCCACCACCCACTGTACCAGGTATGAATGGAGGCGATTGTACAGTACATAATAGTAAACTTGTATGCTCTTCTTCATTTACGTTAAATTTATGACCAACTCTATGTATATTTGTGATTAGTTTATCAGTAATGTTTCTACCTGGTGGTTAATAATTAATCGCCAGACGCTACACCTGATGGCTTCCACCTCATGATAAATTCAGTTTAGCTTAATTTGCACACATACTGACCAAGTGTGTACAGATTACGTGCCTGAAATGCGGATATAATGAAAACCTTTTAGAATATGATCATGAATATAAAATTATAGTAAATGTCATTGTGAATGTATAATGGTACACGTAATAGATCACCTGAAGATTAGCCCCCAGCTTATTTCCTCCAAAGATTAACTACCTTACCGCTAACCTTAACTCCCTGGGTAATGTTAGGTTACGTTACGTTAGATTTGGTTAGGTTAGGTTAGATTAGGTTAGATTTGGTTAGGTTAGGTTAGGTTAGATTTGGTTAGGTTAGGTTAGGTTAGATTTGGTTAGGTTAGGTCAGTCACCAGGTGAAATAAGCTGGGAGACTAATCTTCAGGTGATCTAAATTAATACAGATTTTAAAATATGAGAAAATATACAGTACAGTATATCATGACTAAACGTATACACTGAAGACAATATATTACTTGTCTTCCACTGCTGTTTACTTTGATCCTTAATGAGACAAGATCAAACACCAACGCTCATTTAACTATCTGGTGTAATACAGATGTTAGGATGCGGCGGGCGAGTGGATGCACCAATCATCTCCCGTCCTCAGGGTCGCTGGTTCGTTCCCCGGGCATTCCTAGTTCACCCAGTTATGGAAGTGAACAGGTAGTGCAAGTGTTGTAAGTGATGGGGCGCCTCCCTCCCCAACCCACCATGATGGGGCCTCCCTCCCCAACCCACCATTATAGGGCCTCCCTCCCCAACCCACCATTATAGGGCCTCCCTCCCCCCACCATTATAGGCCTCCTCCCCAACCCACCATTATAGGCCTCCCTCCCAACCCACCATTATAGGGCCTCCTCCCCAACCCACCATTATCAGGCCTCCCTCCCAACCCACCATTATAGGGCCTCCCTCCCCAACCCACCATTATAGCCTCCCAACCCACCATTATAGGGCCTCCCTCCCCAACCCACCATTATAGGGCCTCCCTCCCCAACCCACCATTATAGGGCCTCCCTCCCAAACCCATCAGGATAGGACCTTCTCCAGTCCATCATGATAGAGACTCCCTCCCCAACCCACCATGATGAGGCCTTTCTCCCCAGCTCACCATGATAGGGCCTCCCTCCCCAACCCATCATGATAGGTAAGTGATGGGACCATAAATTATTGGGTGACAGGGCAGCTCGGAGAGGCCACAGCTGCCTGGGTTGGTCCTAATACCTCACTAATGGCGAAAGTTTATAGTCTAATGAGGCAGTCAGACACCTTGATAACATCCCATAAGGCAAGCGAAGAGTAGTTTACTATAAAAGTCACCATCATTAGCACCACATCGGCATCTGGAGGGTAATAACAGTGTTGTCTGAATTATGGTAATACCGGAAGAGGTTACTGGTTAGATCAACACAGACGACAGTGACCCTAAAAGGTGGTATAGTGGAGATGTTACTGTGTCATAGAGGCTGTTAGGTGTAATGTTGTTGGTGATAGTAAGAGTTCTTGTTTTGGTGGCCCTACTGTGCTTAACCTAACCTAACTCAACTCAATCTAAACTAACCCAACCTTGCCGAAAGTAACCAAACCTGACCACAGCTGAACCTAGCTTAACACGACCCAGTCAACCTACCCTAGCCTAGCCTAGCCTAACCCAACCCTACCTTAAAAAAAATAAATAGATAAAAATAACCCAACCTAACCTAACCTAACCTAACCTAACCTAACCCAACCTAACCTACCTCAACCTCTGCACTTGAAGGTCTATGTTCAAGGCAGCTGTGGGGACAACACCGGACTTACCAAAACACAACACCTAAATACAAAAAGATTAAGTTAAGTTAGGTTTTTGTCCTATACCCTCAACCTGCAGGAGTTAAACCAACCTGATGGAGAGGGTCGTCCTTCGGCAGGGTGTGGTGGGAGGCACACTAGGAGGGAGGGAATCGATGCCAATTTAACTCTAGGAATCTATACAGGATGACAAGGAGAATGTTGGTGTTGGACGAAGAACAGAGAACAAAGAACAAAGAAAGAGGAAGAGAGATAATGATGTCAAGGAAAAATAAACATCAAAAGACGACCCGATTGAACAACACTTGATTGAGAGAGAGAGAGAGAGAGAGAGAGAGAGAGAGAGAGAGAGAGAGAGAGAGCATACAGTTATCGGGGCATAGATAGATAGATAGATAGACACCCACGGCGGTTGCGGTAGTGCAGAACAAGGCCCTCAACAACACACTTACCCCTTGTAATTGTTAATAGCAGGGGGGTAATGCCTGCATCTAATGACCGCTAACTAATCATTACCATCACCCCACTCTAGCAATTACCAGCAGTCATACAGTAGTTAGTGGCCGCAAGTATAGTTCGGCGGGGCTCCCAAAAACCGCTAACAGCCTCGGTAAGTCTCGTTAACCCCCAATGACCATGGATTCCCCCACCCCGCACGACCTCTCTCTTTGTCTCCTTCTATCCCGTCTTTATTCTCTTATCTCGCCTCCTCCTCCTCCTTATCGTCATTTACTCTTCTTTCGTAATGCCAATGGTGGTGATTTAGTGAAGGTGTTCCTTTAACTTCATCCTCAGAGGGTGTCGGGAGGCGTGTAGGTTGTGTAAGACTAGTGAGGGAGTCATTTAGATAGATGATGATAATGATGATGATGATGATGATGATGATGATGATGATGATGATGATGATGATGATGGTGATGATGATACTACTACTACTACTACTACTACTACTACTACAAATAATACTAATACTAATA